TCTTGTAAGAGTATTAAGAGCTTTGTATCTTTCAAAGAATTAGTCTGGTGTTTGGATTTAGAATAACTGAAATTAAGATATTTCATCAGCTGTTACTTGAGTTATGTCTTTTATTCTGACCTCTGTTTACCATGCTAATGTTAGCATATATTTGTACAAGATGTCTTATTACAGTAAAGGTATTCGCTTATTACATTTCTTGTTTTATTGAATATGGTGAATAAAAATAAGATCTTCACAATACAACTGTGAAATGTTTTAAAGACAGACAGACCACTCGGGTGACACTCAGGTGCAAATAAAAGTGTAGAAAGTTTTACGCATAAGTTTAAAGAATCTAAAGTCAAAGTAATGAATCTTTCTCTAAGAATCACAGGGAAATAAACTGAAATATGCTAAACGAAAACGTATGTATATATATATACATATATATATATATATATATATATATATATATATATATATATATATATATATATATATATATATATTATATGTATATATATATTATATATATATATATTTATATTAGCATATCGGCAGTCTCCCACCAAGGCAGGGTGGCCCGAAAAAGAAAAACTTTTCTCATCATTCACTCCAACACTGTCTTGCCAGAGGTGCATTCACACTACAGTTATAAAACTGCAACATTAACACCCCCTCCTTCATCTCCACGACTCAAGTCCGGCCTGCCGGTTTCTCTGAATCCTTTCATAAATGTTACCCTGCTCACACTCCAACAGCACGTCATGTCCTAAAAATCATTTGTCTCCATTCGCTCCTATCACGCTCACGCATGTTTACTGGAAGTCCAAGTCCCTCGCACACAAAACCTCCTCTACCCCCTCCCTCCAACCTTTCCTAGGCTGACCCCTACCCCGCATTTCCTCTATTACAGATTTATACACTCTCGAAGTCATTCTATTTTGTTCCAACCTCTCTACATGTCCAAAGCTCCTCAATAACCCATCCTCAGCCCTCTGGATAATAGTTTTGGTAATCCACACCTCCTCCTAATTTCCAAACTAGGAATTGTCTGTATTATATTCTCACCACACATTGCCCTCAGACATTACATCTCCTCTGACTCCAGTCTTCTCCTTGTTGCAACATTCGTCACCCATGTTTCACACCCATATAAGAGCGTTGGTATAACTATACTCTCATACATTCCCCTCTTTGCTTCCATGGACAAAGTTCTTTGTCTCCACAGACTCCTAAGTGCAGCACTCACCTTTTTCCCCTCATGAATTCTATGATTCACCTCATAGAATATATATATATATATAATATATATATATATATATATATATATATATATATATATATATATATATATATATATATACATGTATATATATATATATATATATATATATATATATATATATATATATATATATTATATATATATATATTATTTATATATATATATATATATATATATATATATATATATATATATATATATATATATATATATATATATATATATATATGTGTTGTATATATTATCTCTAGAAAAGGCATCTGCCATTTCTTGTCAACAATATTTCTCAGCTGATATGGCTATATGATTTCGGTGTTTCCTCTGCCTCGGTTATGTTTTTTCCCAGAGCCATGTGACTCGGTGCAATCTGATTTACTGGTTTCAACTCGGGCAGACACAAATATGTAAAAAGTTACGGTCAGAGAGACAGAGAGAGATGCGGAATGATGGACACAGACAAAGGTTGATACAGGAAAATAAAAGCACGAGGCAGATGAAGATAAAACTGAAGGATAACCTTCAGTGTTGTACGATGCTTGTGAGTTTAGCGCACAGTTATGATAATAATATTAATGGGGGATAAGCTAGAAAATCTGATTAAAAACACTGATAAACAGACCCTCACATACACATAAATATACACATACACTAAGATACATATAAATATACACATACACTAATACACATACTCATACATACACATACACATGCATAAACACACAAACAGACGCTATTTCTCAGGAGAATAACGAGGCGGAGGACAATAAGGCAAGAAAGAAGTCGTATAAGGGGGAGAATAAGGAAAAAGGAAAAGAATAAGGAGGAGAATAAGGAAGAAGGAGAAAAAGGAAAAAGTAAAGAATAAAGAGGAGAAAAAGGAAAAAGGAAGAAGAATAAGATGGAAGATGAAAAAAAGAGGAAGAGAAAAAGGAAAATAAGGAAATGGCGAAGTAGCAGCAACATCCCAGAAAACGCCGCGATTTAAATGTCCCGTGAGAGCGAGCCTTTAAAAATGTCCGCCGCCCGGGTGAGGCGAGGGCTCGATACGGCGCAAGCTGTCACTACCCCTATAAACCACCAACAAAAAGAAGCCAAGTGACACTGACGTTCCAGCTCCCACAAGTTACTGGCTTTTGAATGTCTTTCTCGTAGGGGGAGATATACATTTAAATTCCTTAGGCCTGCGCCGACGTAAAGGGACTTAAATGTCCGACATTTACCTGCTCCAGATGTACTGAGGTTCATTATTATAATTATTATTATTTGAGCAGTGGGTTTTCAACCCAAAATTAACCATACTATCTTTAATACGAGAGAATAGAACGTTGCTGTTCTGTGTTCTTCAGGTCTGTCGGATAGATCCTGTTCTTCCTATCTGCCTGTTGCACCTACTATTCCTCTTTTCTACAGTTCTCTCTCTCTCTCTCTCTCTCTCTCTCTCTCTCTCCTCTCTCTCTCCTCTCTCTCTCCTCTCTCTCTCTCTCTCTCTCTCTCTCTCTCTCTCTCTCTCTCTCTCTCTCTCTCTCTCTCTCCTCTCTCTCTCTCTCTCTGCTCGCTCTCTCATCTCATTTCCCTAAATTTAAACAAACTTCTCTAATTTTAACGACAGGACAAAAGTGAAAATCCTCTCATCTTTAACTCCCTTTCAGTTTACAAATTTAGAAATGTATTCCGTCCCTCCCATTCCCACTCCCAGACCATTCCCATTCCCAGACCATTACCATTCCCAGGCTAGAGAGACTAGCACGAGCAGTTTGCATTCACGATTTTCATTTCATCTCATTTACCATTCCTTCCATTCCCATTTCCACGCCGGAGATCCCTCTAACATGGCCTTAGAATTTCCCATTCCACCCATTCCCATTCCTGCCGCCGATACTAGAAGCGATGGGAACCAGGGGTTCCCATGTGTGTGCTGGCCGTTGTGCATCCTGCAGTGATGGGACAGCAGAGGGAGGGGTGTATTAGAGTCTATACGAGTATACACTGGAGTACATGAATGTCATGCATTAAATAGAAGTAAATGGAGGGTACAGTAAATTTTCTTGTACGGCTCGTGTATACAGTGAAAGTTTTCGTAAATGCAATTGAAAATAATGTATTAAAACTGAGCTGTGGGTGGAAATGCCCCTCGCTGTACGCGCTTTACAGAGAAGCTATCTAACAGAGCTGACTGTACATTAGAGTACATTAGATTATAGGAGGGTACACGGGAGTGCTTGGGATTGCTTGAATGTGCTTGCGGGTACATAGCACTAGAGAGTACATGGAAGTATTAGAGAGTATATGGGAGTACTAGTGAGTGTATGGGAGGCCTAGAGAGTACATGTGAGTACTTGAAAGTGCTTGGAAATGCCGGAAACCACGTGGGAATACTAGAGAGTACATGGAAGTACATGATATTGCATAGCTACACATGAGAGTACATAGCAGTATTAGAGAGTACTAGGAATATTAAAGAGTACTAGATAGTACATATGAGTCATTTAGAATAAGTTAAACAACATAAAAGTATATAGAAGTACGTGGAACCATAAAAAAGGAAAGTACGTCAAAGTACACAGGAGTACACGGGGATATTTGAGAGTACAAGAGTACACAGACTTACGCGGGATACAGACAAGTACATGGACGTACGAAAGAACACATGGGAGTATACAGAAGCTCCTAGGATTATCTAAGAGTACATTGTACACGGAACTAGAGTACAAGGATAGGAGAGACAATCCTGTTGCAAGCCTTCAAGGACAGAGGAACGCAATCTTCTGTTAGCCTGTAAAGGCAGGCGTATAGAAATCTCTATTCTATTCTTAGTCTATAAAGAGAGATGGATAGGGATTTCTATCCTTCCGCCATTCCACTTCACACTCAACCCCATCCCTCTCTATCCCACCCCTATCCCTCTCTATCCCACCCCTATCCCTCTCTATCCCACCCCTATCCCTCCATACCCACCACTACCCCTATCCCTTTCTAAGCCCCCCCCACCCAGCCCCTCTCTATCGCACCCCTATTCCTCTCTATCCCACCCTTATCCGTCTATATCCCACCCCTGTCCCTATCTATCCAAACCCTATCCCTCTCTATCTCATCCGTATCCCTCTCTATCCCACCCCTATCCCTATCTATCCCATCCCTATCCCTCTCTATCCTACCCCTATCCTTCTCTATCCCACTCCATCCTTCTCTATCCCATCCTCTCCTCTAGGCACTCTTTAACCTGACCAACAGTCATTTGAGTGATGCTAGAGTGCCATTTGAATGCCACTAGTACTTCTAGAGTGCTGCTAGAGTGCCATTTGAATGCCACCAGTGCCACTAGTACCTTTAGAGTGCCACTATAGACTCGTCTAAGTGCCTCTAAATGACAAGAATGCTACTGAAGTGCCATTAAAATTTCTTTACAGTGCAACTAGGGTGCCACTAGAGTGCCACTAAAGTTCTGCTAGAGTGGCAATAGTCACTGGAGTGCCACTAGAGTATCACTAGAGTGCTAACAGTGCCACTAGAGAGCCACTAGAGTGTTACTGGAGTGCATCTAGAGTGCCACCAAAGTTTCACTAGAGTGGCTATACAGAGCCACTGGAGTGCCACTAGTGTGTCACTAGAGTGCAACTAATGCCACTACAGAGCCACTAGAGCGTCACTGGAGTGCAAATAGAGAACCATTAGAGTGCCACTAGAGTGCCATTCACCATGGCACTCAGCAGGTGCCGGAGAGTCTACTCACTTTTGTGTCCGTGCCAGCAGTCGTTCCAGCAGGTCTGCTGTGTAGTCCATGTCTGCTTGTGGTACGTTGTCACCCTCACGTCCTGCTGGAGCAGAGGCAGAGGTTAGTGAGAAGTACTGCTGGTGGTTAGCAGTGGTAGGTGTTGAGGAGTGGTAACTGGTTGTTAGTGGGTGTTGTTACTGGTTGTTAGTGGTTGTTACTGGCTGTTAGTGGTTGTTGTTACTGGTTGTTAGAGGTTGTTACTGGTAGTTAGTGGTTGTTGTTACTGGTTGTTAGTTGTTGTTACTGGCTGTTAGTGGTTGTTGTTACTGGTTGTTAATTGTAGTTGGTTATTACTTGTGGCTGATTGGGAGGGTTATTAGTGGTTATAGGTTAGTGGTGGATATAGGTTTATTGTGGTTATAGGTTAGTGGTAGTTACAAGTTAGTGGTGGTTATAGTTAGTAATGGCTACAGGTTAGTGGTGGTTATAGGTTAATGGCGTTAAGTTAATAGTGGTTATAGGTTAGTACAGTTCCTTGGTTATTTGCTTATGGTGGTTACAGTCTGTTGTTGTGGTGTGGTGATGGTGGTGATGGTGGTGAGTGGTGGGTGATGGTGGTGATGGTGGTGATGGTGGTGATGGTGTGATGGAGGTATGGGGTGATGGGTGATGGTGGTGATGGTGGTGATGGTGGTGATGGGGTGATGGTGGTGATGGTGGTGATGGATGGTGATGGTGGTGATGGTGGTGATGGTGGTGATGGTGAGTGTGATGGGGTGATGGTGGTGATGGTGGTGAAGGTGGTGATGGTGGTTGATGGTGGTGGTGATGGTGGGATGGTGGGATGGTGGTGATGGTGGTGATGGTGGTGATGGTGGTGATGGAGGTGATGGTGGTGATGGTGGTGATGGTGGTGATGGTGGTGATGGTGGTGATGGTGGTGATGGTGGTGATGGTGGTGATGGTGGTGATGGAGGTGAGGTGGTGATGGTGGTGATGGTGATGGTGGAGATGGTGGTGATGGTGGTGGCTACTTCGAATGAGAAGCCTAGTGGTTAAGGGTTAGAAGTAGTAGTGGTGGTCGTAGATGGGGACGAAAAAATCCTATAAATATACTATGTTACATGTGAGGACAGTAAGAGAGTCTGCAGCACCATCATGGAACCCACACCTGCTGAAGCACATCCATATACTTCAATAAGTACAAAGGTTTGCAATAAAACTAGTTATGGGGTTAATTGGGAAAAAAACTGAAAGAACTGTAGCCAATAGTTAGAAGGATCAAGGGAGACACAATCACAACATGAAAAATACTCAGAGAGCTTCAATGGAAGGACTTAGATGAGAGAAGAATATTTCTCCAGTCTCAGAGGGAGGTTAGAAAGTAGAATGACTTGGATGGGGAAATGGTGAAGGCAGATTCCATACACAGCTTTAAGAAAAGGTAACAGAGGGTCTTCAAGGCTGGGAATTATTGAATCCGGTCGTGCCCAGTTAAGAATAGAGGCCAGGTACGGGGACTCGAACCCCATCAAACATATCTAGGTGAACTACATGAGTACACACACGCACACAAACGCGCGCCACACACACACACACACCACACACACACACACACACACACACACACACACACACACACACACAACACACACACACACGCACACACACATATACACACACAAAAACACACACACACACACACACACACACACACACACACACACACACACAAACACACACACACACACACACACACACACACACACACACACACACACATACATTCAGCGAAGAGGCGGGGCCAGGAGCTGTGACTCGACCCCTGCAACCACAAATAGGTGAGTACAAATAGGTGAGTACACACACACACACACACACACACACACACACACACATATCACCACACACAAACACACACACACAAACACACACACACACACACAGTGCACAACACCGAGGAAGAAGTGAAGAGGCTTCTGATGAGCAAGATACCTCAAAGGCAATGGGGCCAGATAACATCTCCCCATGGGTATTGAGAGAGGGAGCAGAGGCGCTATGTGTACCCCTAACAACAATATTCAATACAACTATCGAAACAGGGAGATTGCCTGAGGCAGGAAGACAGCAAATGTAGTCCCAATCTTTAAAAAAGGAGACAGACATGAAGCATTAAACTACAGACCAGTGTCACTGACATGTATAGTAATGCAAAATCATGGAGAAGATTATCAGGAAAGTGGTGGAACACCTAGAAAGGAACGATCTCATCAACAGCAGCCAACATGGTTTCAGGGACGGGAAATCCGTGGTCACAAACCTACTGAGTTCTATGAACATGGTGACAGCAGTAAGACAAGAGAGAGAGAGGGTGGGTGCATTGCATATTCTTGACTGCAAGAAGGCGTTTGACACAGTTTCCACACAAGAGATTGGTGCAAAAAACTGGAGGACCCAAGCAGGGATAACAGGGAGGCACTACAATGGATCAGGGAATACTGTCAGGAAGACAGCAGCGAGTCATGTACGGGCGAGTGTCAGAGTGGGCACCTGTGACAGCGGTGGTCCCACAGGGGCAGTCCTAGACCAGTGCTGTTTCTGGTATTTGTGAACGACATAACGGAAGGAATAGACTCTGAGGTGTCCTGTTTGAGCAAGAATTACGTGAAGTGATTAGAGAATTCACTCGATCGAAGACCAGGCAGAAACTACAAAGTGGATCTGGACAGGCGGTTAATGCAGACCTGGGTCCAGCAATTGCCCTCTGGGTTCAATCGCACAAGTGCAAAGCATGTAAAGTTTTTTGGGAAGGGCAAGAAGACCGCATACGGATACAGTAAAAAGGCAGAGAAACAAAACCTCACAAGGAAAAAAGATTTTGGGGTGAGTATAACACCAGGCACACTCCTGAAGCGCACATCAACCCAAATAACTGCTGCAGCATATGGGCGCCTAGCAAACCTCAGAAACAGCATTCCGACATCTTAATAAGGAATCGATCAGGACCCTGTACACCGTGAACGTTAGACCCATATTGGGGTATGCAGCACCAGTTTGGAACCCACACCTAGCCAAGCACGTAAAGAAACTAGAGAAAGTGCAAAGGTTTGCAACAAGACTAGTCCCAGAGCTAAGAGGTATGTCCTACGAGGAGAGGTTAAGGGAAATCAACCTGACGACACTGGAGGACATGAGAGATAGGGGGACATGATAACGACATACAAAATACTGAGAGGAATTGACAAGGTGGACAAAGACAGGATGTTCCAGAGATTGGACACAGTAACAAGGGGACACAGTTGGAAGTTGAAGACGCAGATGAATCACAGGGATGTTAGGAAGTATTTCTTCAGCCACAGAGTAGTCAGGAAGTGGAATAGTTTGGGAAGCGATGTAGTGGAGGCAGGATCCATACATAGCTTTATGCAGAGGTACGATAAAGCTCATGGTTCAGGGAGAGTGACCTAGTAGCGACCAGTGAAGAGGCGGGGCCAGGAGCTTGGACTCGACCCCTGCAACCTCAACTAGGTGAGAACTAGGTGAGTACACATACACACACACACACATCACAAAGAAGTTAATGATAAATGCTTGTGAGAGACAGGGAAAGAGAGAGAGAGAAAGAGAGATAGAAAGGGAGAGAGAGAGATGACCTGCCCTGACCCTACAAGGTCACTACTACTTGTCATGAATAATTCTGGAATCCATACACCATCTCCAGATTCCAACTTGCCACTCCACACTCACCCTCAAGCAGGCGCTCTCATGAAGAACATATGAACAGAGGAGGGTGAACAAGACGGGATGAACAGGCGAGGATGAACAGGACAGGGAGAACAAGAGAAGATGAACGAAGATGAACAAGTCAGGATGAACAGATGGTGAAGAGATGGAAATATACAAGAAAAAACACATAGGCAACAGTTAGGCAACTTTATTCCGAAACGTTTCGCCTACGCAGTAGGCTTCTTCAGTCGAATACAGAAAGTAGGCAGGAACAGTAGAGATGTGAAGACGATGTAATCAGTCCATCACCCTTGAAGTCGTAGATTTGACCAACACGTTTCGTAATAATGCTGGTAGACCAACACGTTTCGTAATAATGCTGGTGGACCAAGACGTTTCGTAATAATGCTGGTAGACCAACACGTTTCGTAATAATGCTGGTAGACCAACACGTTTCGTAATAATGTTGATAGACCAACACGTTTCGTATATCTGTAGACAAGTTTGAATAATGTGTGGACCAACACGTTTCGTAATAATGCTGGTAGACCAACACGTTTCGTAATAATGCTGGTAGACCAACACGTTTCGTAATATGTATGCCACAGTTTCGTATATGCTGTAGACCAACACGTTTCCTTCCCTTGAAATACAAAACAACCCGACTACTTAATATATACATATAATATAACATATTATGACTATAAGCTCAAACTAAACATCAATAACTATAAAATTACTTTTATTTGCTAAATGCGTCTCTTTTGTTTATCTTCACTTCTGTAGAACCTGGCGACGCCGTTGGGAATTCTCCCCATTAAATCCCCAGGGGAATCCTCCATTAAATACCCCCGGGGACTGGATAATTACACCAACTGAAGCTAAATTGTGTTCACTCGCTAAATCAATTTTCGGGGCCTTTAAAACCGTCTGATGTGACTGTGTATTTTAGTTAATTGCTCTGTGCTTCTCTCGTGGTGAGTGGCAGCCGATGTCCATCCTGTGAGTGGTAGTTATCCTCATGTCCATCCTGTGAGTGGTAGTTATCCTCATGTCCATCCTGTGAGTGGTAGTTATCCTCATGTCCATCCTGTGAGTGGTAGTTATCCTCATGTCCATCCTGTGGGTGGTAGTCCCCCTAACATCCATCCTGTGGGTGGTAGTCCCCCCTAACATCCATCCTGTGGGTGGTAGTCCCCCCAACATCCATCCTGTGGGTGGTAGTCCCCCCAACATCCATCCTGTGGGTGGTAGTCCCCCCTAACATCCATCCTGTGGGTGGTAGTCCCCCCTAACATCCATCCTGTGGGTGGTAGTCCCCCCTAACATCCATCCTGTGGGTGGTAGTCCCCCCTAACATCCATCCTGTGGGTGGTA